CCCCCCCGCCGCCGGCCAGTGTGCTTGCTTGCCTGAGAAGTGACACCCTTAGCCCACTCAGTCCCCACCCCTCCCAGAGGTACAGTCTTCGGCTTTGCTCTAAAAATAGAGCATACCTAGTTGCTGGATACATTTCTTGGAATGACCAGGGTTCCCCAGATGAGGGGATGGGGGCTGCTCAGAAAGTGGCCTGAACAAGGTCACTCAGCTCATCACAGTCAGAGCCGGGGCTGGAGTCACATGCCTCCTGGTCGCTCAGTTCCAATTTATGGAGGCTGCTTGTGTCTGGAAGAACGACAAACCAAGTTTCAGAGTTTATTTCATCTTTTCTCCCGTGATGTTGATGTCATCCTGTTTTCACACAGCGGTTGAGCCATTCAGCCAGGCTCCCCCTCCCCCCAGCTCCCATGTGGAAACAAGCCTCCAAGCATTAATCCCCACCAGCCCCCCAGGGTCCCCACTAGCACCCCTCCCACAAAACTGCAGGCCCCGATTAGGAAGCTCCGCCTGGGGAGTTTCCATTTGGCAGTGCCTCCCCTGTCCCAGGGAAGGACACTGAAAAGAGCCGTTTAGCACACAGGCAACGTGAGCCCTGCGGGGCCCCAGTGGGCCCCGGGCGGCTGCAGCAGCCTCCAGGAGGCAGGAGTGAGAACCCCTAGGACTTGGAGCTAGTGCTCCCCCAGCTGGAGGCCGTGCTCCATTTGCAAATGAAAACATCAGTGTGAACTCTCATTGCTTTTAGGTGGCATCCCCTCATAGAAGAGGATTTGTGTGTGTGGGGGGGCATATTTTCATTTTTCCTACACAGTTCTAAGCAGTTTTCCCAAATATGTTCCTCCATTGTAGTTGGAGGGAAATTTCTCTCTGCTATGAATGGAGTGGCATTTGATATTTTCTGCTTTTTATAGTACTTACTATTATAGTACTAATTCTAAAAAATAAGTGGATCTGATGTTTTATTTACAGTGGGAGGGGTATATAAATGTATTCACTGGAGTGAGTCACCGGGACTTTCTCTCAGAACCAGTAAGGTTGCTTATGTGTCCCTCTTGAGTCGTTTTTGCTCACAGTTTTCCACCCATCAGCAATCACTGGCTCAACCATGTCACATCTGATCTCAAGGGGGAGTTCGGAAGCAGGGAGCTCGAAATAGCTGGGATACCACACCAAAACCTTCCCCAGGCCCGTTGGAGCAGAGCAGAGGGCTCCTCCCTCTTGGTTCTACCACTTGAACAGAGGCTCGTCCAGGATAGGGACAAGATGGCTGCATCCTTGCTTAGCCAGTGATCTGCCGAGACAGCTCCGCTTTCACAGGAGCCGATCACGGTCAGCCATGGTCAGTGCCCTTGGCCAGTTGGAAGACTATGGTCACTCCATAATAGCTAACCATGTGGCCTCTGCTCAAGCTGGTGAGTCAGAGGAAATCCAAACAGGCTTGTTGTAGCATGAGGTTAATGATTATCCTGTCAGTACCACCTCATGTGGGCAGCACTCTGAAAAGTTAAAGTGCTTTCAGACGTTGTTGTGTTCATAACAACTCTGTGACCCTAGACAGGGCAGAGTTTATGATCCCACTTTTAAGTTAAAACAGTTGGGGGTGCAGGGCGTGGGGGGGAGAGAGAGAGGAGACTTTTGAGAGAGGATTGTCTGTTTTTCCCCTTAACTTCAGCGATGGAGCTAGAACTAGTACAGATTTTACTCAACGTACGATGGGTTTATTGGGCCATAAACCCATTGTAGTTTGTAAATATCACAAGTTGAAAATGCATTTAACACCTCTAACCTACCAACATCATACATAGCTCAGCCTAGCCTACCTTCAGTGTGCTCAGAACACTTACACTAGCCTACGGTTGGGCAAAATCATCTGTTGCAAAGCCTATTTGTAATAAAAAGCTGAATATCTCCCGTAATTTACTGAATACTGTACTGAAAGTGAAAAACAAACAAAAGTGAAAACTTTACAGGAGTACAGGATGGTTGTAAGCGTATCAGTCATTTATCCTTGTGATCATGTTTTTGCCTGGGAGCCGCAACTCACCCAGCATCACGAGTTTCGCACTGCATATGGCTAGTCTGGGAAAAGTTCCAGATTCAAAATTCAAAGTATGGTTTCTTACGAATGCATATGGCTTTTGCAACATTGAACAATTAAAAAATCCTAAGTGAAACCATTCTAGTCAGGGACTGTCTATACTGAGATTTCTCTTCTATATTGTATTCTTCAGAAGGGACAGTATCATTATCCACTCAGAATACAGTATTTGGATTAACTAGTGTGTGGACACATCCCCTTGGGCCTAATGACTTTTGATGTAGAGAAACCATGCGTTGGGTAGGATAAGAAAGATTTCCTTCCCACCATTCCCATCAGCCAAGTGGAAGACATGCAGGAGGGGGGCCAAGAGCTCCTCTGTCCCATAGCATCAACTGAACCATCAACAGAGCAGAAGTGATGTGCCGCTCAGATGTCCCAGAGGACCAGAGGGCCAGTCCTGATGGGTTTCTTTTTCCCCAGTTCTCCGATTATCAGAATTACCTCGTGAATAGCTGTGTGAAGGAGAACCCCACCATGGAGCGGTCCATCGCCCTGTGTAACGGCATCTCCCAGTGGGTACAGCTGATGGTTCTCAGCCGCCCCACCCCACAGCTCCGGGCAGAAGTCTTCATCAAGTTCATCCAGGTGGCTCAGGTCAGTGACTAGCTTAAGAATTTGACCTGGGCTATGAGGTAAAGTATCCCCTCTTCCCCCCAGCCAGTCTGTCCGTTAGAGCTGCTTCCCCCTCCTGAACCACAGGAGAGTGTGTGTGACGTGAATTGTCCCAGATTTAGATATGGTGACTTTTCTGTTTCCTACATAAGGGCAATATGGTGAGGACCATACTGATTATCTCAGGGGTCAGAATACACTTTTAGATCTGTTTAGATCTTTTAAAAATTTTTTTACGTTTTTATTTATTGTAAAGTAATCTCTGCACCCAGTATGGGGCTCGAACTCACGACCCCAAGATCAAGAGTCACACACTCTTCTGACTGAGCCAGCCAGGCGCCCCAAGATCTGTTTAGATCTTTTAACAGATGCAGCAGATGCTTTCCAACCTACGTTGTTTCCCCAAATCTGGCCCACATGGCAAAGGAAAGGGCAGTTTCCCAGGTTTTACTGGGGCTGGACTACCTCAGCTGTCTTAGGTCTGTGAGCCCTTACTGTGTTGAACGGCTGGGTTTAATGTTTGAAGGCAGAGTTTAGGCATTTGATGGGAGGAAAGCAGGTAGTAGGAACACGTAATTGACGTTCCGCAGAGACTCTAGCCCCTCTCTCCCGGTGATGGGCCAGGGCAGGCACTGGCACAGTGTAAGAGAGTAAGACGAAGTCTTTGCCTTAAAAATAAAAGTGGTTATTTGAAATGAAGGATACAAAATATTATTAGTTCTAGAGGTTCAAGAGCAGCGTTTCTCAAAGTTTTGTACATGGCCCACCTGCTCTGATGTTAACTGAAGGTTTATCCCTAAGCTCAGCCCCAGATCCCAGGAGTCAGAATAGCTGCGCTTGGATCCAGCAGTCCTTGCATTAAGCAAGTACTTTGGGTGGCTCTTAGAAACCGCTGATGTAGGGGCGCCTGGGTGGCTCAGTTGGTTAAGCGACTGCCTTCGGCTCAGGTCATGATCCTGGAGTCCCAGGATCGAGTCCCGCATCAGGCTCCCTGCTCGGCGGGGAGTCTGTTTCTCCCTCTGACCCTCCTCTCTCTCATGTTTCTCTGTCTCTCATTCTCTCTCTCTCAAATAAATAAATAAAATCTTTAAAAAAAAAAAAAAAGAAAAAGAAACCGCTGATGTAGAGGATGGCCTGCCGAACTGGTGCAGCAAAGAAGGGAGATAGGACACCTTGCTAGATACGGTCTGAAGTTAAGCCTACAGGGGAAAATGGTCAGAAAAGCACAACACCTGACTGCTAGGCTTTGACCGGTATTAGGAAGACTCGAGGCGCGAGGCGCAGAGTGGGGAGGCGCGTAACTGACATGTACATGGACTACTCGCCTCTCTTTTCTGTGTCACAGAAACTCCACCAGCTGCAGAACTTCAATACACTGATGGCTGTGATAGGTGGGCTCTGTCACAGCTCAATCTCCAGGCTCAAGGAGACAAGTTCGCACGTCCCACATGAAATCAATAAGGTCAGTGTCACTGCCTCCTTCCTCCAGGGCCCCTTAGCAGCATTCCCAGGACCAGCATCAACATTTACTGAGAGGCAACCCAGAGAGCATTTCCAAACCATTTCATCCTTTCTCACTTAATTAGGCAAAATACTAGCGAGGCAACCCCCCAGAAAACCCATAGGATGGGACTATCCCAGGTCTGAGAGTGCCTGGGATTCAGTCTGGCCTCGGTGTCCCCTGCACGCGTCCCTGTGGTCAGTTGCAATACCGTGCGCCTCTCTCCTGTCCTGCCAGAGTCACGGTCTGTAATACCGACTCCCTTGCTCCAGCAACTTATTCCAAAGTGTTTTCCTAAAAGAGTGGTTCAGTTGACTGTAGTTCAGTTTGTATGTCAAATATGTATAGTGAGTGACACATTAGAAACCTACCTATTCAGACCTCTTGGAGAATGACATTCTGGAGAGTTGAAAATGAGCTTTTCAGGTGCCATTTTGTAATAGTGTCTTACTGAGGAATATTTTTCTTAAGTGCCCTATGCACTTTTCTACATTCTTTAGATTTTAGAGAATAGACTTTAGTTCTTCATAACATAGGGCTATTAGGAATACAAACCACTAAGATATACTGAAGATAGAAATGCAGCTGTTTGGTATGGATTAGCTAACAACTGCTCTCTTAGCGTTTCCGCCTCACGTGAGGACCAACCAGCCCTCCCTTACTAACCTCAACCCCCAGCTCCCCCACCTCTGTCCTCCTGAGCTGCATGGAGGCTCTTCTTAGGGAGACATGTCTGTGCCCCATTGTCCTGTTGTTCCCAGCTGTCCAACCTGCTTTTGGGGAGTCTAGGATTCATCATCCCTGCTCTCACCACCCTGAGCTCTGGGGATGCTACCCCACCCCCACCTTCCAGTTCCCTACTAGTTCTGGCGAAACTCAGTGGAACCGTTGAGAAGATTGTCCATGTCTCAGAAGTGACAGAGGGAGACAGTCATGGAGAGGAACGTGCTCTCGTGTTGTCTCGCTGACAAGATCGAGCTTGCTCCTCTTCAGCTTGGAGCCCCACAGCAGTGCTTCCATGTCTGGAGCTGCTTGACCCTCAGGGCGGTCTGCACAGCTGATTAGTGAGGCCAGAAGTAAAGCAAGAACCCCTTGCTCCTCTAGTAGTTTATTTCACCTCCCAAGGGAAGCAAAACTATCTCATTTTTGCTGTTAGTCTCTTGTCTTGTGAGCCCCTTCCATACTTCACACTCACGGGCACCATCTGCTGAGAGGTGAGTGAGAAGGAGGCTCTCCTGCCCGCTCATAGTGATGGAGGGAGACTAACTCCAAGCCTCAAGTCCTTCAGTGGAGACAAATGGTACTTATTAGGCCACAGTTTTATTAAAAGAATTTCCAGCAGCATTTAAAATAGTTACTTTGTGCTGTAACATGATTGGTGGACAGTCTTTGCGTCTGAGGAAGCTGGTCGTCATGCATGGGGACTGGGGTTCTGCGAACTGCTTGCCCACTTGAACCAGGCGTATTTGTAGAGAACCGCAGCTCTGGCCGCTCCCTTTCTGTGCTCGTGAGCAGCCGTGCCCCTTTCAGGGCTGGGGCAGGGCGTGGGCTCTCAGGAAGAGCTTCGTAGGCCTTCCGCCTGATCCTCCTGCATGCCCTCTGCTGGGAATCGGTCTCTGGTGCAGGTTTTCAGTCTGTGAATGCAGTATCACATGATTCAGCATCACTGAGATAAGGCCCACAGAGCACAACATAGAGTATGAACATGCTAGAGACCACTGAAGTCCCACAGCTTCTCCCCGTGTTGGCAATAGTCAGCGCTTCAACAGCACACTTCACGTGAGTCTCTGGAAGTGCTCAGATAATACCAGGGAGGGCAGCTGCATGGCTGGGGGACAGAGGTCAGAGGGACACTTACTGTGTACTATATATTCTTGTACCTTTTTAATTTTTATCTCAGGTTTTTACTTTTAAAAAATTAGTATAAAAATGATAAGACCGCACTTAAAATTTTTCAGTTATGTAGTATAATCAAGTAAAGCATACCTTGTGTTTGTAGATACACACTGACATTTGAAATAAAGTGGAGTTTTTTAATTTGGGAGTCACAGTATGCAAATTGTAGATGAATCCCCTCCTGCCCAATTCGGGATGGGGTGAAATCATGGGAGGGACTGACAGTATTGCAGATAATACACGCTGCCTGGTGGGTACCTGTAACTGGGTCTCTTGTATTTTGTAGGTTCTGGGTGAGATGACCGAGCTGCTGTCCTCCTGTAGAAACTATGACAACTACCGGCGGGCCTATGGGGAGTGCACCCAATTCAAGATCCCCATTCTGGGGGTGCACCTCAAGGACCTCATCTCCCTGTACGAAGCCATGCCCGACTATCTGGAAGATGGGAAGGTCAATGTCCACAAGCTGCTGGCCCTTTACAATCATATCAATGAACTGGTCCAGCTGCAAGAGGTGGCCCCGCCCTTGGAGGCCAACAAGGACTTGGTGCACCTGCTGACGGTGAGGCTCCCACAGGAGACAGTTACTAAGGATGAGCTGGTGCCACCCACCACTCCCTGCAGCCTAGCAGATACTAGCTCAGTGAATCCTCATAAAAACTCTTGGAAATAGATACTATGATGATCACCGTTTTATGGATAGGGGTACTGAGGCACAAAGGTATAATTGGTCAGGGTACCACACATGATTAAGCAGTAGAACCTGGATTCAGATCCAGGTGGTGGGACTCCAGAGGCTGTGCTTTTAAACAGTATGCCCTTAGGACTTCTAGAACTCCTTCCTACCCCTCTACAAAGGCAATTCTAAACTCTCCGGGAGGAGCTGATAGCAAATCAGGATCTAAAGCTTCCTAAGAGAAGGAGACAGTGTATTCTCATTTAAAAAAGGGTAAGGCAATGAGTTAAAAACAAAACCCAACAACAAAGTGGAGGCATTCAAGTCAAGAATAGGTGAACACTTGTGGTACAGGAGACCAGGATTTGCACTTTGGGTCCAGAGTGAGATCAGATGAACTCCCTTCCAGACCCACAATTCTGTAGTTCACCAGCTGTGTGACTGTGGGCATGTAACTCTATATCTGTTTTATTCTCTGTAAATCAGAGATGAGTCTCTGGGATAACTTGCAACTTCTTGCAGTTCTAAAATGAAACAGTTCTTAATCTGCTCTTTTGCAGAATGGCATAATTATTACAGCCTCTTCTTCCCTCACATGATTCTGATAGGGCCCCATGGTTCACATCCCCGCCCCTTCGGCAGTTGGCCAGGTGACCAAAGCAGGTCTCGGCCGTAGACATCATCTGTGAAAAGACGTACTGATCTTAACTTTTTTGAATCACAAATCATGTGATGAAAACTGTGAAAAATATAAAAAATATATAGGAGTTCTGGACCTCTTGAAGCTATCCACAGACTCTAGGTTAAGAACAAGATTATTTCTAAGATCTCTCCCTTCTAGATTTTATGGTTTTAAGATATATGAAACTGATTAACTCTTAATATCATTTAATAATATCTGTTATCACTTAAACTGGGTTCTGTTGTAGAGAACAAGTGAGGCATGGACCATCTGACCAGATAGGGCCTTTTGCCTAAGCTCTAAAGGCTTAGATATTAAATCATATTTTAAAAGAGGACATCTTGACATTTCTTCACAATTTAAAAACACTTTAACAAGAAGGAACTAATGCTTGCCCTATTACAGTAGTGTTACACCCTCCAAACTTTGTGAATTGTAAAAACAAACCATTAGAATGGCCTAGGAGAGTAGAGAAACACATCAGCCCTGGGAAAGACAAACAGCATCCTAGCAAATAACCGTGTTCTGCTTTGACCTGCAGTTGTCCTTGGATCTCTACTACACTGAAGATGAAATCTATGAGCTTTCCTATGCTCGGGAACCAAGGAACCACAAAGCCCCAGTGAGTTGTTCATATTTTTATGCTAGGATTACTGCATGTAGCAGGTACTTTACAGGCTGCTCATTGAGGTCATCATCTTAAGGAACAAACTTTTATTCAGTTTAATAAGTATTATGTTTCCACTATGTGCCCAACCTCATGCTAGGAACAGAGCTTCAACATATGTATCATTAGTTCCTGACCATAAAGAGCCTGTAGTCTACTTGAAGGGATGAGACGAATATAGGAACAGTAAATGACTATGTGCCCTAAGCACATCCCAGTGAGTGGTGCAGTCAGTGACTTACCAAGTAGAGAAGGGAGAGTTGCGGGCCATAGTGACATCTCCTTCCTATTTGTTATAAAGTATCCCCACATCAGTTGTTTCTCTTCTCTGACTTGTTGATAAGCACATGCATCCCAGTTAGAAAAGACTGATCATCCTATATTCATCTGGGTCAAAAAAGCAGTCTGCTGGGGTTTTGACCTCTTGTGCTGAGAAGTCCTCAAAACAGCGCAGTCCTGGCACTGCCCAATAGGACTCTCACAAGTCGTCTGGCCTGCCTCTCTCCTACAGGCAGGTGAAAATTTCAGCCTTCCTTCTGAAGGATCGGTATCTCCCCCTTGCCCCCAGTCTCCTGGGAAGCTTCCCAGCCCCCAAACACGTCGTACTCAATGGGGGGAGGTACCCGCACATAAGTAATCCAACTTCTCTGTTCAGGTGGCTGGATTTCACTGTGTCTACACAGAAGAATCAAGTTTTAGCTCCAACTGTAATGAAAGCTGTTCACTAAAAATACTTGGCAGGTTCCATTTTCAGGGTGTTAGAGGGCATTTCAATGGAAAGGGTACATTCTCCCATTTTTGGAAGAGATTTTCATTTGGGCCAAGTCTCAAATTAGGAATGGATTCCATCTCCGCTTGTCCAAGCCTCAGACTTTTTTCCTTGTGTTGTCCTGCCTATGTTCCAGCTATTTTTCTCCTCATCTACGTCTTTAGGAACTAGAGAACGGAGAGGAAATTTAAATGAGCCACTGTGCTGATAGCTCTGACGAAAGGTTTAATAATGCAGAGGGAATGGAGAATTTTGAGTTATCTGTAGATGAAGAGAATACGTGTGAGGAGCGCTTTGTCAGCTGTGAAGCACATTTGCATTGGCCAAGATGACAATTGTAGATTTCAATTCCACGTGGGCTCTCAGCTCCTTGCCCCTGCACAGAGCTGACGGTTGTCCACAGTGTGGCCATCAGGTAGTGGGAAAGGAAGGAGCTGTGGGTTGTACTGCATTCTAGTCATGGGGATTTCTCTGAATATTTCATTTCAGCCACTAACACCTTCAAAACCACCAGTAGTGGTGGACTGGGCCTCTGGAGTATCTCCCAAACCGGACCCAAAGACCATAAGTAAACACGTCCAGAGGATGGTGGATGTAAGTACAGCTGTATTTCAGCAGACAAAAGCAAGGCACAGCCTGGCTTAGCTTTATATGCAGGGGCTGGGGAGGGGGTGCCCACAGTGGCAGAAACACAAAGGTGGGAAACTTGAAACCTGTTCCTAGTGAGCACGGGGAACCGCTTCTCATACGGTGCCTGTTACATTGCAGACACACTTGGGCCTCACGTTGGGGGAGGTGTGCTCCCTCTTGAAGACCTAGTAGGAGAGCATATATTTAAGGGCTGGCAGTTGATTTGGGAGGCAGAGAGGCATCAGAAAAAAGTTTAAGTAAGGATAATAAGGAGAATCTAATACTGAAATTTTTGGCCCTCTTGATTCTCTTCACTGTTACTGTGGAGGAGGGATACCTACTTCTGTGTTTCTAATCCAGTGTAGTAATAGAAAAGGGAGAGCCAGCCAGTGACAGAACCACGAGCAGTGGAGGACTAAGGCGGAAGGAGCGCTTCCCGCTGGGCTGTTAGCAGAAGCACTGTAAGAGGGGCAGAGCAGAGGGAGAACAGCCCCTGTGCAAGGAGCGAGGAGCACCCCGTGGCCAGGGAGGGGGCACCATCGATGTGCTAATGGACCCGCCAGCCCCTGGCCCCCTGCAGACGCGGGCCCGGGGCAGCCCTGCCACGTGCCCTGCTGCTTCTCTGTGGCCGCTTCAGGAGCACATTTCCTCGTTCTCTCATTCAGGCTGAGGAGAGGCTTTTATCAGACGTTCCAGCCCTTCGTCATTTGGCTCAAGGGAGAAATGATTGGTTTCGCTTTGGTAATCACCAAAGAAACTCCTTTTTTTCCACAGTCCGTCTTCAAGAACTATGATCATGACCAGGATGGATACATTTCTCAGGAAGAGTTTGAAAAGATTGCTGCCAGTTTTCCCTTTTCCTTCTGTGTGATGGACAAAGACAGGTGAGCATTTGTGTACAGGCTTAGGAGGCTCTTGGTGCTCAGGGAGCAATCATCAAATCAATGCCGGTCTGGTTTTCGTTCGGACAACAGACCATGAAAAACACATGTGTTTTAAATGCCTCAGAATTGAAGATTTCATAAATAAGAAAACCTTTAGTGTTCCTTCTTTGCTTGGTTCTGCAGATTGTGAGAAAAAAATTATTTAATACTTTGTCTATTTACTTTTCAGAAGGTTACATAAGCTCTATGTTGGTTCTCTGTATGAAATCAAAGGGATGGTCGGTGGGCTCCAGTTATGTGTCATGTACTGTCTAAAGTCAGAAACCACAGCATAAGGCAATTTTCTCCCTGTACAGTTTCCATTTCTTTTTTGAGTCTTTAAATTGGCTAGGAAAACCTACTTTAGCCAAAGAACACCTCTGTAGAAATGAATAGTGCCATCTCACCTACTAATGATGTGCTATCCATGCATCCCTACCTAAGAGCAGGGCTCATGGAGATAGCCCCCAGTACTACATACTGTACCTACCACATAAGGGTAAAAACAAAGGTGAGTTTCTAAGGCTAGAAGCCACTCTTGTTACCCCAGACCCCACTCATACCTTGTCTGTCCCTTGCTGGCAGGGAAGGCCTCATCAGCAGAGATGAGATCACAGCCTACTTCATGAGGGCCAGCTCAATCTACTCCAAACTGGGCCTGGGCTTTCCTCACAACTTTCAAGAGACCACCTATCTGAAACCTACATTCTGTGACAACTGTGCTGGATTTGTAAGTTGTTCTTTGAATGCTTTAGGTTGAACTTGGGGAGGGGTATGAGACAATTTAAGTGATTAAGCCAGGCAGAGACCTCACCATCCTTATCAACCACCCCAGCTTAGAGCCTAAACAAACACCTAGAATAAGCTCGTTCTCAAATGCATGGTTTTTACTTGAACTCATCTTTACCATTTCTCCCAGATTGATTTCTTCCTCTGGTCTATGAGGCCTGGGACAAATGGTAAGAACTGTTGAACTGAGGGGAGATATATATATATATATATATATATTTTTTTTTA